ACATCTGCTGATCAGCAGCTTGGCTCTACTGATAAACGGTAAGGACTGCACTAGGTGTGTTTTATTTCTAAACCTCATCTTCTTTCGGTCATTTTGAACACAGGCTCTTCTAAGTGAATCCACAGAAGAGCAGACATGGCTTGAAAACTGCCCTGTGGAGGTAAATTAGGTAGCCATAGAACTTTAAGACCAGCTGGGTTAGAGAAAACCTCTAGTGAGCCCTGAAGTGTGTCAACCTGCATCCCATCCCTGTAAAGAATTGAATTTATATGCCCATCTAGACAGGGTCTATGTAAATTAGCTCCTGGCAGGATTCATATGTTTGTCCTGCTATTAGGAAACATGGAGATTTATCCTGCAAGGAATCAAATTAGTTTATTTTTCCTGCCAGAGATTTAACCTCTCTCATCTGACCATTGTCCATTTTTCTGTCTTCTTTCTACTGTGCCCATCCCCATAATACCTGACCCCTCTACAGAACTCTCCATGCCATAATCTCAGATGTTTTTAAATATGACAAATTAAGCATCACACAATCCCCTACTGTTGTTGTTATCGTCATTTTAGATGGGGAAACTGAGGCACGGAGCAGTGACGTCATTTGATTAAGGTCACACAGGGAGTCAGTGGCAGAGCTGTAAATAGAACACAGATCTCCCCTACCTGCCAGTCTCAGGACATAACCACAAGACCATCCTTTCTCCAGGCACACTGGTTTGTCTTTCTGTTGGTCTTCTTGCTTAGGAAAACATTGACACACCTCCCAGGTAAATGGGGCAAGCCCGGCCTCACAGCATCCTTCCCTTTTGCTGGTAATAGCATTTTGTAAGTGATTGCACTGGTTCAACACAACCAAGGAGCAGAGACATTCATGCTGCATGTAAAATGTAGAAAACTGACCTCTTAGATTTTGGAAGCATTTTTGCATTTGGCTACTCTCCACCATGAACTCCAGTGCTCCGATTAATTTATGAGCTGAATTTTCTGCAAAGAAAGAATAAGTTTATTTAACAGTTAAAAAGGACCAGATCTCACCAGTATTTTTTGCCATCCCTTACATTGATGCTACTGAGGATATTGTTTATTATCAGGGCTAATACAGAACTTCAAATGAACACGATAGCCTGAGTCCTTAAAAAGCTTTCTGTTCCTAAGCCCCACTGCCTTATCTGTTATCTGTGTAGGCAACTTAGCAGCAGCTCAAGGCCAGTGATAGTGGGGTCCAAAGTACCTTCCCTGAGTGTTAAATAACTCGGACCATAGATACAGGTCAGTGTCACCAGGGAAGGCTGTTGGAACAGGTAAAATTCATAGATTTTACGTTCAGAAGATGATCGTTATGATTATCTAGCCTGGACTCCTGCAGAATACAGGGAACTATAGCAGATGGGAAACTGAGATGCAGAGAGAGGAAGAGCCAGATTTTTAAAGGTATTTAGGCATGTAAAAATGCACATAGGCATTTAGCTGGATTTTTAAAAGTGCTTAATTCCTATTGAAATCAAGGCTAATGCACTAACCACTAACGCTCCCCACAGACTTCTGAAGCTGTCAGATCCGGCTGAGGACTGATAGGGCAGGACCAAAAATCCCAGCATAACTTATTTACTGTAAATGTTCCTTCCTGCCCAGCCCATCAATGTCTCTAATTAAGTGAGCATAGTACCAGTGAAAGGTGTCACCCTGGCATCTGAAGTCCTCTTCTGAGCCACAGCACAAGTACAAATGCAGTGCAAGTGTCCCCACCTTGTCCCCAGCACCGGGACTCAACCTGAACTGGAGTGACTTTCCCTAATGGCAGCAGGGGTGGAGGTCGTTCTCTAGGAATAATCCTTGGCTTCTCTGCTGAGGCTGCCAACAACAGTGGAAAAGTTAGTTCCACCTGCTCTGTTGGATTCTTGCAATATGGGCACCCGCTCACCAAACCCTAGGGTGAGGCTCCCTCCCCCACCCCCAGCTCATTTCCTGTTGCCAATGAACAGTCTTCATGTGATAATGGTTCCTACCCGCCTGAGCTGCCCTGGAACTGGAGAACTAGGAGGGCGAAAGACTATGTCCTATCCCTAATCGCCTGAGTCATCCCATTTCCCGATCTACTGCAAATATGCTGCTCTTCTCCTTCGCACTCGTGCAAGACATGTTGTGACCGGAGAACCCCACCCTCCATGCTTTCAGGGAGATTCTCCATGGCATTGCGCCTGATAGACTCATTTGCACCTGTGCAAAGTGAGTTGAAAATGCTCCCAAACCAGTTTAGCTTCAGCTCTGTGCAAGCCTGAAAGCTCGTCTCTCTCACCAAGAGAAGTTGGTCCAATAAAAGATATTCCCTCACCCACCTTGTCTGTCTAATATCCTGGGACTGGCAGGGCTACAGCAACACTGCACCAAACCAGTTTGACAGTGTTCTTGTGCCCATTTGGCACAGGAGTAAATGACTGTACCAGGTGCAACTTAAGGTAGTGGGGAATCAGGCCCACCACACCCACTAAATCTGACTGCGCTTGTGGGAAAGGTTGTAATAAAGAGGTGGGAAGCTTTATAGTGCAGAGCATCTACTGTCTAGGCTGCACACACAGGAGAATGCCTTTGGGCAGCCGGCCATCTGTAAATATGCCGAGGGAGCAGAGCTAAGGGTTCTTCACATGCTCATCATCTCTCTGCAAATCCTTCTTTGTCAGCAAGCCAAGAAAGAACGTCGGACGTCGGAGGGGGAAAAAAGGCACCGAGGATTTTCTCTTGTCGGTTTCCATACTTTCAATGCAACAGACTAAACTGAGCCGTCAAATGAGCAGTCAATGAAGCAACCTATTGACTAAGCCAAATGATGACAGCAGTGCATTCCGTTTGTGATCAGATTGCTGGTATTAACAGGGATCTCTTCATGTGCTGCCGCTCAGCTTCGCGTCAGCAGTTCCATTATAACCACACACACACACACCCCATTCAGGGATTTATAGAGCTCAGCCATAAAAAAGTTTGTTTGGGCCTAAGTTTGGGGCATGAGGTTTTTACATCTAGAGCAATGTGTTTTACCGAATCCTCAAAGAACAGTAAGTTAAAAGGTTCTTTAAGGGGAATTTTCTAACAGAGATGTGCCCCAAACCACAGGTCTAGTACGCGCGCGCGCGTGTGTGTGTGTGTGTATGTCAGGGGAGGGGTTACACTCATATGCTGAGACACAAACAGTCTGGCACTAAAATGAGGGGTTGTCTGAAAGGATTGTACTCAGAGGTTCTTGTGAAGCGTCCTGCAGTCCTTTCTCCTTGGTGGCTGTACGATCACCACCATCTGCTTTCCCCTTGTGCTATGTTTACTGACCATGGCATGCCGACTCTAATTAGTGTTCCAGCTAATTCTTCAGGGCTGGCCTTACCATGAGGCGAACTGAGGCAGCCGCCTCAGGTGCCTTGGGGGGAAGGGTGGGGTGCCACTAGGACCCAGCGTTTCAAAGTTTTGGCCCAAGCAAGGGGGCATGGGGGCGTCATTTGAGCTCCCCGCCTCAGGTGCCAAAATGTTGTGGGCCGGCCCTGTAATCCTTAAAGCATGTTTTAGGCACAAAGTCAGGCCCATGAGTTGGGAATTTATGCTCAGGAAGAGGGCACATGGCTGATGATGGGGAGGCTCTTGGGGGAATTTAAGCTGAACCCCCTCAAACAGCACAGAAATGAAATAGCTCAACCAGAAGTGAAACGTCTGAGGTGAGGAGGAGTTGGCATGACAATCCCCTAGCCCAGTCTCAGCTCCAACCTCCCTCTGCCTCTGTGCCCATCAGTCAGAGGGTGCAGGACCATGTCTTAATCAAGCTGGGTTTTTATACTGTGTTGTTCACCAAGGTATCTGGAAAAACAGGGTGTGTGAAGGGGAAAAAACAGAGAGTGATGAGCGTGCTGGGCAGGAGAAAGGATGTGGGAAGGGGAGGCCGGAATTTGAAGCAAGAAGAGGAAAAAAGGACTGTGGCCAGCAAGACAACCTGAAGCAAAGAGCTGCTATATGGGTGCTTGAGGCCTAGAATCCTGAAGACTGCAGGGGACTCTGGTTCTTAGCACCCTGAAGCTAAGAGAATCTATGTAGTGGATTGGGACCTGCAACCTAAAGCAAAGAGACACAGAGGTGGTGATGGAGGAGGGTGGAACAGGCTTAAGGCCTCTATCCTAACACAAAAGGAGGCCTGGGGAACTGATTGGGAATGATTGGAAACGGCCTGGGAGACTCAGAGGAGAGCCGGCTTTAAGGTAACTTGCAAAGGATTTTTTAAAATATCGAGTTTGTGCTCTTTTTTGCTTTGTTCTGATGGCTAAAGAATGCCTGAACGTCTGGGAGAGAGGGTTTTTTTTGCTTGTTTCTTACCTTAGAAATATCAGGTGCGATGAGTCTGAGTTTTAAATGATGCCAAGCATCATTTCGCTTGTTGGCACTTATGGCTCAGCTGCACCCGTGCTCAGCAGCAGGTTCATTTTTCAGAAAGCTGGAACCTGTCCATCGGGTAACAGCCAAAGATCTCCCGAGCTGATGCCAGTGCATTTCTGGGCTTGCCAAGTGCCTGTTTTAATGGTGCTAAGAGACCCAGAAATTAAAGGAGGAATCTGCACCCAAGAGCACAGCTGTGGGGGGAAATGAACGGCCTTTGCTCTGGGCTGGCAGCTGAGACTTTTTCAGTAAATATCAGAGAAATATAGTTTTTGCTTTCAAACATTTCACCTGCACCTCCTGGCAGCAGCCTGAATTCATCCCTGATGTGATTCCCGCCGAGCAGAGTTTGACCCAGGGTGAATTTGGCCAGGTAATTGTGACTATTATAGTCCTGGGGGACTGGATGTCTGAGGGGATTGGTAGCGGGACATAGAACCTTTCAGCTCAAGGCTGACTGCTTCTATCCATTTCAGCTCAAGTATAACCAAAAGCTGCGACCACCTGCTGTTTGGCATTCCCTATGCGAAATGAGTTGGTGGGTCGCAATTCTGCCTCCAGCAGACAATTGTCCAAGGGAGAAAAACCTCCAGATGAACAGGTGCTTTGAAAGAAAGTCCACACTCTGTGTTGAGTCCAAACCCATCCCCTCCTCTGGCATCTGGCTTTATTAACAAAGAACTAACATCAGAAAAGTTCAGCCCAACCCTTCTGTTCGGGTTTGGTTCCTTCTTCAAGACTGGTCAGCCCACACCCTAGTTCCCAGAGAGCCACTCCCACCCCCTTTATGTCCAGGTGCATAACTAGCCACTTGCCTCAGTTAGTCAGCAGAACCGACTTAACCCTTTTTCAGCAGGATTAACTTCTGCTAACAGGATAGGGTTTCCAGGCAAACACTGCCAGCCTGTTACAGTCCATCACAACTGGCACTATAATTGGCATCCTTGGGCTCTTTGAGCAAAGAGGACAATTGTTGACTAGACCATGAACTGCCCCTCATCCCCTCAAGTTAATTCCTTCAGGTCAGGGTGGGGCAGGTCAGCACAGTTGAAACTTGCAGCACCGCTCTCCATAGCTCCCCTATCATCTTGGAGATCTCTTCCTCAGCTCGCAGGATGATATATCACCCTCTCCCAGAGCTAAATCCATAGGGTATCACTCCCATCCCCTACATGTGCCCCTTTCCCATTGCACGAAGGTGGAGGAGCATGTATGATGTCATCTGCATATAATCCCAAATCGCTGCCCCTCTGCCAGCAGTGAGGAGACATTTGTGTGACAAGATTACAGAGATTAGCTCCATTAGCATAAACAACTCCTGGGGCTGGCCCTAATCCAGTGAGACATATGCAGTTGCAGCTCACACAGCGGCATTTATTGCCTTTATTGACATGCCCTCCAGGACACCGGCTGGAGGAGGTTTTTTCCATTGTTTGTAGGTCAGGCCAGGGGACCGAACAACCTTGTGAATTCTGCAATCATCCTCTGATTAGCCCAGCCACCCATTAATGGGACACTCTCCCAAGGGCTTTTCTTCTGCCCGTATTGTTACTTATTGTTCCTCAAATGCTTCAGTCCCTCAGTTCTTGTCATCAGAATAGGAGCTCCTTGGGGCAGGGACCTGTCTTTTTACATCTTTTGGCAAGGCCAATTGGGAGCTGCATAAATAAGAGAATGTTTTCAATTGTTTGTAATTAAGACCTTGGTCCCAAGTCTTCCTTACTCTGGTCTTGTGCTTGGTGCAGGAATACAGATGGCTAGAGGGAGTACCTTTAAACCACCTTTGCATTCCGCATATTCTTAAGCTTTGCAGTCCCCAGCATCAGTTAGAGCAGACTCAAGGCTGCTTCAGCTTATGCCCTGCTTTCCATGGCTCCCTGATGTACATTAAGGGAGCACAGCAGGAAATTCCTTCCTGACCCCTATGCCCTGAAGCATGAAACTCACCTACTTATATCTTAATATGTATCAGAGATGGGCCTGAGCTGTGAAGTTCACGACCAGATTAGAATTCTGGGGTGTTCAGTTCAGCCAGTCACAGATGCATGAGCCAGTCCCAAAGTTTGAATCCAGATCCGAATGTCCCCAAAGTGAAGAGTCAAAGTATTGGTTCAGTCCCGTCTCCAATGCCTCAGAAGCCTGAAAATAAAAAGCCCATCTCTATTGATTTGATTTGGTTCCATTTGTCAGACATCGATTTCCTCCTCCCCAGCCCATTTCTAATGGAGTTTGGTTTGGTTTGTTCACTCCTTTATCTGTAGCACATTATATGGGGATGCCATCAGCATAGCTGTCAAGGTTCCTTCCCCACTCTGAACTCTAGGGTACAGATGTGGGGACCTGCATGAAAACCTCCTAAGCTTACTTTTACCAGCTTAGGTTAAAACTTCCCCAAGGTACAAAATCATTTTACCCTTGGATTTCCACTGCCACCACCAAACTTTATCTGGGTTTACTGGGAAACGTGGTTTGGACACATCTTTCCCCCCAAAATCCTCCCAACCCTTGCACCCCACTTCCTGGGGAAGGTTTGGTAAAAATCCTCACCAATGTGCATAGGTGACCACAGACCCAAACTCTTGGATCCTAGAACAATGAAAAAGCATTCAGTTTTCTTACAAGAAGACTTTTAATAGAAGTAAAGGAATCACCTCTGTAAAATCAGGATGGTAGATACCTTACAGGGTAATTAGATTCAAAACATAGAGAATCCCTCTAGGCAAAACCTTAAGTTACAAAAAAGACACACAGACAGGAATAGTCATTCTATTCAGCACAGTTCTTTTCTCAGCCATTTAAAGAAATCATAATCTAACACATACCTAGGTAGATTACTTACTAAAAGTTCTAAGACTCCATTTCTGTTCTGTCCCCAGCAAAAGCAGCATAAAGACAGACACAGACCCTTTGTTTTTCTCCCTCCTCCCAGCTTTTGAAAGTATCTTGTCTCCTCATTGGTCATTTTGGTCAGGTGCCAGCGAGGTTACCTTTAGCTTCTTAACCCTTTACAGGTAAGAGGATTTTTCCTCTGGCCAGGAGGGATTTTAAAGGGGTTTACCCTTCCCTTTATATTTATGACAATAGCCCTAGGCTCTTGCCCATGTAAAAAGCTTTTCAGAATACAAGAGAGATGTCCATTCACATACAGCAGAGCACTGCATCCCCTAACACCGTGCTGTGACACTGGTTCAGTATGGATTCAGAGGAAAGGGGTGGCCTGGTTCTTGGCCTTTTAGAGCCGCTGCTCATTCATCAATAGAGACACTAAGGTTCAAACAGGCCATGAGTGGAAATGAATTTGCAGGTTATAGTGAAACTACAGATGACATCATAAAACCACACAGGACGCTATCCAACAGTTCCCCTCCTTACTGGAATTTGGGAAAGGCAGCATCAGGGACAGGAGGCTTTACTTGTATTCCTCAGTCAGGATTGCTACTTTGCATAGATAGCTCTAGGTCATAAACTAACCTGCTGTTTGGGATGATGTATTATCTGGGTCTGAGAATACATCCTTCCAGCTGTTTCCTAATTCAAGTGACAGGTGTTGCCATCTCTCCACTGCAGCTAGCGTTTTTATTTGCGGAAGAGTTAGCAATAGGTGACAAGAAGTCGCACCCTGGATGAAATTCACCACTTAAGTCCCACTTAACCCCGCAAGATAGTGAGACTTAAGTTGGGCTGTAGGCCTTACACTTGCCCTCCGCATGGGTCCAGAGCTGGTCAGACACAGCCATATCTGGTGGACCCTAACATCAAACTGCGAGCAGAAATAGCTGCCCTGTCTCTTTGCTCGTGGAAGCTCATTCCCTTGACATGTCACATGCTTAGCCACCAATGACACATTCAAGGCCACATCCTCAAACACAGTCATGCCATCATGACAATGTGTGTGCAAATCCTGCATGTGTGCATACAAATGGGGTAATTGTACATCACGAATAGAGCAGTTTTGCATGGACACTGCCTGGTTCGCCTGTGCAACAGGATCACTGGCACTGTTAGTAGCCTCCATTATTTGTGGTTGAAGCCTTATTGTGCAGCGCATTGTGCAACGCACACGCTAAGAAACAATCTCTGCCCCTAAGAGCTTGCAATCTAAACAGACAATACAAAGGGTGGGAGAGAAAACAGACATCCAGATCATTTAGACTGTAAATTCCTTCGTCAGGGATCATCTTTTTGTTCTGTGTTTGTACGGTGACAGTGGGGTCCTGGTCCCTGACATGGTCTCTGAGGCACAATACAAATAATCTAACAGTGAGAGGTATGTGGTCACATTTAATGAGTGACTACAGAACACCACCAGGGGAAATGATTTGCCTACGGTCATACAGCAGGCAGAGCTGGGAAGGGAACCCAGGTCTCTTGACACTACAGTGACACGACCCTAACGTTGTCACCTTGTTGCTGCTGGCAGCTGATACCAGCTTGCTTTCAAAGTCCTGGGGTGTCACTGATTCTTTGGCCCAACCTAGGTTCCTTTCCTGATTCCAGCTTAATGGACCCAAACGGGAAAGTGAAGGCAGCAGCTGTCGTTCATTTCCCACCCGAAAGGTCGGGCACCTCCCCTGCGTAGCTTTACTGACTCACACCCAGTCTTTTCCCTGGCCGGTCTTATCTGCGTTCCGCAGCAGGTGTCTGCTCTCCAAGAGGTGGGTGGCGCAGCGGATGGAACGTTCTCTGTTCTCTGTTGCAGTGGAAAAACACTCTGGCTGGTGAGGTGACGAAAATGACAGACTGCAACTGCCATGGGCCACGCAGAGCAGCTGTTCCCAGGAAATGCTGGAGGAGCTTTGCTCTGAAACCCACGCGTCTGCCCCGGTGTGCTTAACCAATAATGCAGGATTACATCGCACCCGGCTAGAGCCTGGTATGCAGTGCGAGCCAGAAATAAACCTGTTTACATAGCAACCCGGAGAAATAGCAACAGCAGGCTAAGTGAGGTGTGTCTTCTTTTTTTTTTTTTCTTAAATAATCTTTTTTGTTTTTGAAGGACTTTGTTTACATTTCCAGAGAGTTTTGGTTGCAGCGTCAATTTCACAGGCTGCGTCCTGGAGCCTAAGCATGCTTTACTCTCATCCCAGTGGTTTTGCAAACAGCGTTAGCCGCACAGCCTAGCCCTCCACAAGTTCAGCACCATATATGACAGGGGTAGTAGTATATTAAACATTTAAATACATTCAAGGATGTGGGGTGCTCAAACTATGATAATAAAGGCCATAAAAGTACCTAAAACAGATACAGCTGGTGTGGTAGTACCTAGAGGCCTCAACCAACTTGGGCTCTATTGTGCTAGGTGCTGTACAAACATGTTTTAACTGACAGTACCTGCCCCTAATAGCTTGCAGGTTTTATTCCCACTTTACAGATGGGGAAATAGAGTCAGCAAGGTTAAGTGACTTGCCCGGATCACACAGTGGCCAAGCCAGGATTAGAACACTAGTGAGCCTGGTGGCTAGTCTTGTGTTCTAATCACTAGAGAGTTCAAATCCTTGCTCTGAGACTAACTCACATGCTCATACAACACACAGGGCCAGTTCAAGGATTGGGCAAGCAGGGTCCCTGCCATACGCATTGTGCCCCTGGGCTCTTATTTTGGATCTGCTCCACTGATTCCCCAGCGGTGTGGGTGTGTGTGTGGGGGGGAATTGGTTGGTTTGTTTTTTGCTTGACCACTTTGGGGGCAAAACCGCTAGATATGCCCCTGATAATATGTTCCTGATACTGAAAAGATTGTTTGAACAATAAACATGCCATGGGCATTCATCATAGTCAAAATAAGACAAAGTGGGGCTATTTTTTAAGGTCATAGAGAAAAGTGAGTCCAGAGTGAAAGAGCCTGCCTTGTGCTAGCAGGATGAGAGGTGAGCAAATGGGTCGGCAAAGGGATCAGAACTGCTTCCATATGAAGAGATGCAATAGGGATACTACTTACAAGCAGCTTTTCGCCGGGAGATCTCAAAGCACTTTACAAAGGAAGGTAAGGATCTCTGTCCCCGTTTCGCAGATTGGGAACTGAAGCAGGTCACTTGCCCAGGTCACACTACAGGTCAGTGGCAGAGCTAGAAACAGAACTCAGGTCACCTGGCTCCCATTCCAGCTCTTTTCATTGGCCCACACCGCTTGCTTTCTTATCCATCCCAAAAGATTACTATTTTCCAGCTGGGAAGGAGCCTGCCTAAAGCACCAGGAGAAGACTCTAAATGGGATTTCAGTTCCTGCCTGCAACCACTCACTCTTTAACATAGATCCCCATCTCCTGAATTTGTCATGGCCCTTTGGGAATTGAGTGACCCATCTTTCAGAAAATGCTGGATTCTTTATCAACCCACTGCGGGGGAAAAATGAGCTCAGGACTCACAGAAAATATTTGCACAGGAGCTGACTTATCGACTGTGTATAATTAGATACGGTTTAACTAACAAACAGTCCAAATGATGCATGATCCTGTGGTTTTAATTTAATAGGAAATATGAATCACCCAAAGATATTTATAAAGGTCGATGTCGTTCTTGCAAATCCCATCACACTGGGCTGTGTCAAAGGCTCATGCTTGACTCCTACAATCCACTACAGTGGCTAAAGAGAGGGACGGAAATTGTTGCAATGGACCATATGATCACATTGCCATAGGGAAAACAGGGGAATCCAGAGGGAGGAATTTGGGGGTTTGGTTTCGCCCACTCTTTTCTTGCTATCTTGTCACTTCTCCAAACAACCCGTCTGTGTCTCTCACAGTGCAAAATAGAAAGACAAGGGAGCTGGAACTCGGCTGCATACACTGTGACTATAGCAGTCACATGTAACTGATCCCTCAGTGGCTTTTCTCCATGCAATTGTCATGGCCGAAAATGTCCCGAATCAGCACCAGCTGGCTGGAAAATGAATGCTGTGCTGTGCACTCCTACCTCTGCCCCCCTCCCCACAAATAGCTGGAGGTTTCCCCATCCCCCTACTCACCACCAACAGGGATTTAACAATCATCAGAAACATACCAGCGCTGCAGCCATGCCCAGAGCAGGCCAAATGGTGCCAGAAGAAAGGAACGAAAGAAAAAAGAATGACGGGTGAGATTTTCAAAAGAGACAGAGAGGTGGGAGCCCTAATCCCATTGAAATATAAGGTGAGTTGGGCACCTAACTCATTTGAAAGTCACACTCAGACTGCAGCTCAGGTTAAAAGACATCAGAAATTAAAATGCCCTTTGCTCTCTGTAGCAATCATACCACAAGCACTAGAATAGGCTTCCAAGGAAGCTTGTAGAATCCCCATCATTGGAGGTTTTAAGGAGCATTTAAGGTTTTAAGGTTGGACAAACACCTGTCAGGGATGGTCTAGGAGGTTTACTTGGTCCTGCCTCAGCAGAGGGGGCTGGATTTGACGACCTCTCAGCCAGACATGTCTATGATTCTGCCACTTTATAACCTTTCTGACTTCAGATCTCTCCTCACCAATGGCAGTTTTTTTCCCCATACTGACAATACTGTTACTTTTAGATAACCCAAAGAGTGTGCTGGGTGTTTCATAAGGCAAACAGAAAGACTTGGTTCCTGACTCCAAAAAACTGGCAAGCTAAGTCACCGATCCCAAAATCTGGCCATGCAGATGATCTCTCATGCAGAGCCATAGCTGATGGCCTGTCCCTATATCTACAAGGCGTCCTTGCTTAAAACAACAAACGAAATCCTAAGTAAGGGCTAGATTGAGATACCCTTATTCACTTTGAGTAGAACCTTACTTTTCAAGTCATCATACTGAAATGAAAGGGTCTGTGTGGGGAGCAAGATACTAATACTCAGCCTCAGTAAAAGTATCAGAGTCAAGTCTACACTGGAAAGTTACACCAGTATAAGGCAGAGTGTGAATTTAAATCACGAGAGTTACCTGGATATAAATCCCCCTGCAGACTCTCTTCTCACAGTGCCTTCCTCTGGTTTAGTTTGTAGGCGTTTGGAATCAGTTCAAGTTAAGCTGCAGAAAGCCCATCATTCTGGAATGAGGGCTGGTTGGCACTTCAGATTTAGGTCAGCTTAATGACATCGCTCAGGACTGGGAAAAATTTCATGCCCCGTGTTGTGTAGTTAGGCTGACCTAAGCCCCAGTGTGGACACCATTAGGTTAGGGGAAGAATCCTTCCATTGATCTAGCCTCTCAAAGAAGGATTTGCTACAGAGACAGAAGAACCCCTTCCATTGCTATAGGAAGTGTCTACACAACAGCATTATAGCAATTTAACTACACTGCTATTTTTATACCAGTATAACTGGAAAACTCTCCCATGTAGGCAAGCTCTAAGAGAACAGACAACCACCCTCCTGAAGAACAAAGGAGCAAGAACTGGGCACTTTCCCAGCCTTTCGGGAAATTAGGACAGGAATAGCTACAAGTTTGATGTCCCTCCCTCTCCCCCACACCCCCAGCCCCAGTTGCTCAGCAACACTGCCTTGCAAACACAACTCTTAAACAGTCAGGGGTGTAGTGCCCATCCTGAGATGATTTAAAGTCTCTTATAAGCAGAAATCAACAAGGCCTGGAACAGGCCCAGTTCTTGTTGGTGTATGGAGTTGGGGCAGGCCATGCAGCAGGAGTCAGTTAGCCAGCATACTAATGGACTGGCCCCCCTGCTGTCTCTGCTGCCCCAGTGGGGCTGCTGTTGCCAGCATCACTCAAACTGATGTGGTGTTCCATGTGTGTCTATTTATAGCAGACACTCCTGAGCAACAGGAGAGAGTTTTCAGGATGGCAAACTCCATCCCCCACTCCACAGCTGAACAGCTGAGCTTAGTACCCCAAACCACTCGGCAGCCACTATCACAGCTTTGGGGCTGCAGCATAGATGATCAGCACTTCAGACTTCCCTGGCCCACCCACGCCAGGCAAGAGCTGGTGGATTCAGATAGCTATGTCCTGGCCCCTGGCCAGTCCTAACTCACACTACGCCCCTGCTACCTACACACTGCCCAGGACTCAGTACAATGCACTCCTATAGAGTTGTTCTCTGGGGTGCACAGGGAGTGAAAGCCCCCTGTGCTGGATCCTAAGGCCATGCATTTCTTGAACAGGGAAGGGGGTGGTATTGCATGCAGAAACCTTGGCAGCAGGAACAGAAAGGCAGGTTTTGTTCCATGCTTTGTTGGGAGCTGGTCAGGTTTAGATTGGGTTTAAGAGGGGGATTAGGTTGAATCGGGGCTAAAGTTCCACCGTAGATTCTAAAGCACCAAAATCTTCCACCATCCCCTCCCATCTCATGAGATCAGCTGCCCTGGTGAGATTTCTGCTACCTTTGGTCCATGCTTGATGCCTAAGGCAGGCTGCAGTTGAAGCTCAGCTAATTCGCTAGCGGGCAGTAAGCCGCGTTAACAATGTATCAGCCTGCACAGCAGCCACAGATTCAGTCAGGACCAAGCCTGGACACCACTGCTTCTAGGCCATGGAAGAGGTCAGTGGCAGCATGGGAAACTTCAGCTGCCATTGCCAGCATCTATGCAGCAGAAACCTGCATGCTTAAAAAAAAATCCCATTGGCAGCCATACATTTCAAATCTGACGGCGGCTTAAACTTAGCACTGGGTGAGCATACACAGCACAGGTCAGCAAGGACCTGTGAAAAAGATCAATGATTTTCTATAGCGCAGTCAGATTAGCTTATTTAGAGCTCTTTCCCTATCTCCTTCCCGAGACCCATCTCTTGGTTTGCACCCCTAGCTCCCAACGACGTCAGCTGAAGTTGTGGGGACGTGGGTTTCTGAAAAATCAGGTCCTTGCTGAATATAGACCCTCCTGCTGCTCCATTGAGTCTACCATCAATCAGGCTATTCTTAACAGAAACCTAGAATTCAAGGGATCAAGGATCCAGTTTTGCCAATTCCTGAGCACCTTCAACTTTCATTGAAGCCAAGGAGCTGAATGCTCTCAGTGCAGGAATGAGTCCGAACTGTGATTTTTGTGCACACTGTCCAACCAAACTCCTTTTGCTCCTTTCCCAATTATAGGACATCTTTGTCAAGCCAATGTGACATGGTATGTTTCCACTAGAAATAACAACACAAAACTAGAAGTGTTTATCCAAGCCCATCTTCTTCTTTCGCCCTCATTTGAATGTTGATGGCTCTGGTGCTTTGGAACCTGCATCTGAACCACCCCTATTCTGGTTTTGAAAAGCTAAAGATGCAGATGCAGGTGCTTAGCAGGAGAAAGTGCCTCGTCCTCAAACTCCCACTGCAATGAAGGTGCTTTGGAAAATCCCACTGTCTATCTGCATCTCTAGGCACCTAAATAGCTTTAAAAATTGGGCCCTAAATGCCTTGCCCAAGGTCATACGTAAATCTGTGGTGGAGCAGGAATTAACCCAGGTCTCCAGAGTCCCAGGCTAGCGCCCTAACGACTACATTATGCTTCCTCTCATCGGCTGCCTTTCAGACCAGGGCATCACAGATCACATCACACATTTGAGAATAAAGTGTGGAATCTACCAAACAGAAAATTAGGAGTATTCTTACAAGAATTATGTAACACAAGTTAGGCTTCATAAGTCGAACAGCTGCCCGCGCTAGTATTCTAATAAAACATATATAATGTACTGCATTAGTTCACAATGCAATTCCAGAAGAAGATACAGAAAGAAATCAAGCTGTATAGGCAAGGTTTTCAAGTGAGGTTTGAAGAAGGCTCAAGAGATGCAGGGAGGCTGTTGGAAATGACATGAGCTGCAGGGGCGAAGGTGCTCTCACCACCATTAATAGGATTGCGAAGGAAGGAACCCAGAGAAGCGCAGGCTCGACACAAGTGCTGAGAGAGAGAAGGCATCTTTACTGTTCATGAGCACATCTGCAGAACGTGTGCTCGAATGCAGCCCCTGATTCCCAAGGCAGACACTGTCTCCATTCCATTTCTATCCCATTTCGAATAAGAGCAGGCAAGCTGTACAACATTCAAATGAATGAACCCTGCATGGCACAATAGTAACGAAGGTGATTTCATGAGGAATATACAACCTGCCTGGGGGGGGGGGGGGGGAAGGGAAGAGCCATCTCTGCTTGCACATATTTATTTTGTGCTTTTTGATTGTACATGCACTGACATGTCAAGTGCAGCTAACCACTGGTGTAAATTACTTACATGACCTTTCCTGCTTGATGACATTACGGCCAGTATGTCAGTTACCCAGAGCTCAAATATAATTTCATTTATGTCATCCATCATCAACATCCTGCAAAGATGCTGACAGCTTTTAGCATTAATGCTACTGTAATCAAACATTGTAGCAGAGTTGCTGTGTGGAAGATGGATACTTATTTAAAGGTTTAGAGCATATTACCATTTTAAATTAGTCCACAATGTGCCCAGGGCCACACTAGACAAATGAGAACAGTCACCCACAATGAATCACATCAGTAACTTTTGTCTTATTTTTATATTTCTTCAAGATGCCCATTTCCCCCTCCCCCCCCCACCCTGTATCTAACTAGTAACATAGGGCTCATCAGATGGAACACACAGCTAGCTCACCCATCTGGCACTGGGTACATCCTGTTTGTTACCTCATCCTTCCAACCTAGCCCAACTGTTTGTGTCATCCTCCTATTGCAACTACCTGCCTTGCAGACTGTGAACTCTCTAAGGCAAGGACTGTCCTCTTTGCTACTTGTCCACAGAGTGCCTAACTCAACCAGGCCCTGATCCCTGACTTGGTCTCCTAGATGATAGATACTATAACGCAAATAATAAATAAGTTAAACAGCTCCAGAATCCTGTCACTAACCGCTGGATACATCAGAAGAAAATTCAACATCCCTAACCCCTGGTACCAAATCTAGCTGTGTGATAACATACCATGGGGAAGAGGAGTTCCTCCTGACCTCTGCCAGTGGTCAGCTTATCACTGAAGAATGAGGACTGGTAACGGGGGTGGTGTAATTGCAGATGTCATTCTTCAGATCAGGATTTAACCCATTTTTTAAAAGATCTCACGTTAAATCATCTGCCTTAACAAGAGCCTGCAGCAAAAAGTTCCACAGGTTAATTATGCATTATTTCTTTAATTCCATCTCACTCTTAGATATGCTTTTATTCCCCTTATCCTCTGTGGTAGAGTCATGTCTTTGCTTCCCATCCCCCTTCCCCAAAAACCAAAAACAAAGCAAATACAAAACAAAAATGTGCTTCTCTGCGATCTCCACTTTCAAAGCGAAAGAACATATGGTTTTCAGAGCTAGCAGGAGGAATGCAACTCCTTACATGGTTTCACTCCCCGGCTAGAGGAAGGGGCTGATGCTTTGTCATCTTTAAGAGCTGTTCTCAGCAGCCAGGAATTGGCAGGGTTATGTCTGCAAGCATCTCGTGCAGACGCTGCTGATTAAGAAAAGCATTGTCCTTGCAGCCTAAGCAAGCTAAGGTGCACATGAGGGAAAATTCATCTGAAGCTTCGTTTGTGGGGAAAAGAGGAAAACTCGTTTTGTCAAAGTACCAGTGACTCCTTCCTGCAGTTTTGCATTATCAGTGAAAGACTCCCACTTCAGTTTCACAATCCTCCCTTTGCTTGCATCTCATTCCTTATAAGCTCAGACTGCATGGATTCCTTGCACCACAGATGTCTGCCACTTGCGGAAATTAGGCACATTTATTACCTCACTATAAACACTGGCGAGAGACAGCGATGGTATGGGTGGAAAATGTTTGGTGTGTCTCAAGTTCAGCCAAGCCAAAGAACATGCATTCTTGCTACTACAACAGCATGATCACCCGAGAAAAAAAAAAGCATCTTTGATCTTGGGCATCTTTGCTCCTGGATTCATCAGAAGTGTTTATAAAACTTTATTTATTAATATGACAGAAGGTAAAAATAGCGCTTAACACCCATTCATTTTCTGGAACCAAAAAGTTTGCACGATTCACCTAAAGCTTTTATAAAACTGTGGCTACAACAAATTTATTTGCTGATGCCTAAAGCCAAACAAGTTATGGGCAAAATTCTCCTTTTCGATCCACAGAGAATCTTGACTCAGGTATTCTGCTCTCCCTCCCAGTAGGAACTGTCTATAAGCAGGAATCAAGAGCACCCACATTGTTACGGGAAGCTGCTGACCTGTACCTAGACAGTAGGAACTAAGCAGCAACATCAGAACCATTTTCACTTCTACTGAACGTTCCAACTCAAAGTTCTGGGTGGTGCTTTGTAGAAGGTATTGCCTGGCAGCCCATTGGTGGCAGTGGGATCATGGGGCATTGTCCACCTTTGTTTGGGCACCTCTGAAACACCACAGACTTCCTGTAACTAGAGACACACAAGGGGCTTGTCTCCACTAGGAAAAGTCTGCGACCATTTCCTACACTTGCTAACACCGATTCAGCTCGACCAGCGTTAGCAATGTTGGGAGCTCGGGGCCCTTGGCCTTTTAAGCACTGTGTCATCGAACCCTATTTAGAGCAGCTCTAATTGGCAAAGTCCTTAAAATGCCAGCGGCACCAGTACACTAGCACTCCCAATATCACTAGCACCAGTGCAGCTTAATCCTTCGGCTGAGGCTTAGACATATCTGCCAGAAATATCAACACAAGAAGTGGCTAGGGATTTTGGGTGCCTATTTTGAGACACCCTAAAGGGGCCTGATCTTTAGAGAATGCTGATCACCCACTCTCTGAAAATTCAGCTCCTTTTAAGATGTCTCAAGTTGGGCATCACAAAAAATTGAGGCCTCAAAATTACTAGTTACATTGAAAATCTTGGTCCATCTAGATAAATCGACTAGGCTGCTTTAAAAATTTCAACATACATGCTTAAAAAAAAAGACACTAAACACTAGGGACTCGAGACAGAGCTGTGCTAAGCAATAACTCACTTGCCAAATTGACTGCAGTTGCATTTTTAAATCACTTTGTGCTAAGTGGTCCCACTATGTCTAACGGCAATGCCTTCTTATTATGCAAAGTGAAAAGCTGAGCCCATTGAACCCAAAGAAATATTGCTAAATGGAAAAGTAAATCTTTCCATCTTCTGCCTGCCCAAGTGATCTATGACTGTCGTCTTAAATGTGTAATTTTTCTCTTTAATAATCCAAGATTAATTAGTAAATGCTAGTTTTTCTACAGTGGAAGCACATATCTCACATTACAAATTACAGGCCAGATTGTGAATTTCTTCCTTCTATTGGCAAGCAACTACTCGAATAATTAATTTCACAAAGACCGATCCAGATCTTATGTTGGCATTCCTTAATAGGTCAAAGTGAAGCCCCTACTGCTGTTTAAATGTAGCTTTAGTATTTAATTCCTTGCTTCCTTAAACTGCAGCATTAAACAAAATTGTTTGGGAGTGCATAGTACTGCACATTGTAATTGCTCTCAATTTCAGAATTTGTCTAATACTGTAGTAACACACAGTACGACAGAGTGATGTGAAATATTTCAAGGGACACTATGTCTGAGAATACTACAAACTCACATAATAGCCTCATTGGAAAACATTGCTAACAGTGAAAGTCCTACCAAAATAAATGCTCTTGGCAGACAAGCAGAGCAGGAACTAGTTACGAAAAAAATCTAAAATATACTCAAGTTTCAATGGGTATTTTACAACAAACTGAGGACTGTAAACAGGTTTGTTTTCATTTTAAAAAATTGCCATTCAATGGAGTTATATAGGAAAATCCACTCGGTCTCCCATTGTAAAAGTCTCCTAATTGAAGGCTATCCTTAAATCAATCATTTGAGAACTAATATACTTTTCTGTTTTAGTTCAGTTGGTTACATTGGTCAATAATGGGCAGGGACTGAGTTCACAAAAATTAAGTGCTTCTTTATGAAACATGCAGGATTTAATCCTGTATGCTGTAGCTACGCAGGTCTTTTTATGGCAGTGTGACTTCAGCTTCAAACTATTCGAATATCTCACTGGGTAGCCCACTGTACACAGATGTAGGTTTCTATTAAAAGCAAATCTTTCCTAAGTAGCTATTGCTGGGTTTTTCCTTCCAGCCTAGGGATTAAAGGGATTCTGGCTCCACAACAAAAACCTCCAATGGATTAAATAAGTGATGACTCAAGAATGCTGTGGCAAAACTTTGAGACGTTCAAATGTAGCGCTGCTAATGAGAACATTTGTCAGGTCATTCACATTTAGCATGAACATATTGAAATTGTAGATGTCCACAGTACGTTTTCCTCTGATTCAAGGAGAGTAGATTTAAGTATACAGCGAAGGTGAAAACTTCCAGTCTGAAAAAAGATTTTTAGGTTCAGATTCAAGTAGTTGATATTTTAGTTCCTTTCCTTCACAATTACAGTACAGCTTGCTATTTTTATTTGTTGCTGTTGTTGGTTGGTTTGTTTGGTTTTTAGTAGAATTATAGCTTGCTTTCCTTCTCACTTAATCTTGTGGTTCCCTCCCTCTGCATGCAAAACATGCCGCATTTTACCACATGGTAAATATCTCTTGTAAATGCTGACATTTTTCAATTGCGCTCTAGTGAAGTGCCACAGAGGGTAGTAGTGGCCAATGCAAGTTAGGTTATACCATCCAGAAACAATTAATGCACTTTAAAAAAAAAAAAAAAAGTCAAGTATTTCTTTTAGGAATTTGCACAGACTGTTGCTAAAGAAAATTATGTATTTATTTAAAAAAATGAATTGAAGTACAATTTTAGGAAATATTTGTTCATTACATTTACGTACATAGTTTAAAACTGGCTTATTTCAAAAGTGTTCCTTCACAAAGAGAAAATGTTAAGTTCACATGCACCTTACTGTTTTCTACATTCTCCACCATATTACACCTCAGAACAATTTACAATAATAAAAAAGCTAACCTGTAAATTCTTTAGACGTATTGACATTTAGTATGAACAGCTGCTATGTATAAGAAACCCTGATTAGTAATTTGATTTCACTGAGACAAATGCAGGCTCATAAAATAAGGCACAGTTCTATGAACAGGGAACATGGTTTGTTCTTTCAGCAACAGACTTCAATTAGTTAGCTAATTTGTGAGGGTGTTATATGGTGTAAAGTAAATGCACCCCGTTTAAATGCAGATAGAACAAGGTTCTCCTATACAAGACTGTTCTGAGGAGCCAAGTGTTTTGCATGTTATGGTGGGAGTTGTAATTAGAAGCTATATTTATTTAATAGGACATCAGGGGAGTTTTATACCAGACTAGATGTGGGTTCTTCTAAGGGAAATATTATACACACACACACACACACACACGTATGTATACATAAATTTAATCTCTCTGACTCCTTACTAAAAAGAGCAGCACGATAAATTCATTGAAAAGAGCTGGGATGTACCTTGTGTATCAGAACTCAAGAGCTCAATTTTCACAATTGCAGAGCACCCAAAATTCCTAGTGAAGGTGCACAGCAGCTCAGATAGGGCAGTTGAGGGAAATCAGACCCACGGGTTGTCTATTAAAAAAAGTTTTGGGTACACAGCATCTGTCTTTAATCTTGTTACATAGTGCATTAAAGTACTGAAAATATTTCCGTATTATTTTGGCTCTTCACTTCCACTACGGCATTAAAGACTTTGTCAGGCAGGGGATTGGCATCTCTCGTTTTCAACACAGAGCTTTGGGTGCAGAATCAGCCTTTTGCTTGTATGGCTGGGATTAGTAAGACACTGCTGAGATCATCATGTATGTGCTTCACAACCAAAACAGCCATTACTAATGACGGGGGGATGGTTGTGGTTTGTAGTGGGTGCCTTTTTAAAGGACCCAGCGTTTATTCAGAGGTAGTTTTCAGAGGATCACTGTAATGAAGCACCAGTAGTGTCAGTTTACCATTAAAAAGATACTAGATTTTTTTTTACCGCCTCCAAGTCCAAAGGGATCACAGTCAAAGTGAACTATACCAGATTTTGACTAACAGACCCACAGTTCCACAAAAATTCTCTCTCAGAATTCAAACCCCTTTTAAAAATGCCGTCCAATTAGTTTGGATTCTTAAATTGTCACTAGACTAGAAGTCTTACTCAAACTAGGTAGGAAGAAAAAAA